AGGCTGCCGAAGGCCTTGGTCAGGGTGGGGGCTGCCCACAGGCAGCCAGACCTACACGCCACCGTGACCTCCAGCATCCCCACAGTGGCCTCTTCCCCAACCTGCTCAGGCCTCTGCTCCCCTAACTGTCACCTCCAGAACCTCTGGCTTTAGGACCTGGCCCCAAGGGCCCTCTTTCCCCCAGGGGCCTTGCCCCCACTCACCCAACCTCCCCCACCCCCTCCGGGTTTCAGCACAGGAGGTGCCTTCTCTGAAAGGCCCCGTGGCCTCCTGCTCCCCGCAGAGCTCCCCGTCCTCCTGTTCCACAGTGCACTGCACTCTTTCATCCACCATCTGCCTCCCCCACCAAAGGGTCAGCCCACAAGAGCAGGAATTGGCCCTTTGTTCACTGCAGTCCTCCCGGGCACGTATTTGTGCAGTGGACAAACAACTCCGGGCCTAAGGTTGGGTATTCGGGAGGTGGCTGAGGACCCAGTCTGGCTGCCCTGGCCCCTCTCATCTGCCCTGAGCTAAGGTGCCCGGTGGCTATGGCCCTGTCTAACATGACCTCCCCTGGGGACAGTTCATTGCTGACTGGAAGGGGGACGAGAGAGGCAGCAGGTACCCCGAGGCATGGTGGGGAACCCTGAATTTAAACGAGAAATGGTCCCTTCCCAGTTTTATAAATAAAGTGTGTTTTCTCCCAGCTTCCCTGGAGAACTCACCTCCCACTCAGAGAAACCGGCCCTGAATCACTTATCTCTTTTGAGAGAGCTAAGCTGCCCAGTTACCTACTTAGAGAAGGACAGGCCTGGGCCTCTCGCTGGTCTTCTTTTTTCGTGTGACAGGGTCCCACTCCGTCACCCAGGCTGGGGTGCCGCGGCGCGATCTCGGCTCACTGCAGCCTTGACTTCCTGGGCTCAAGCGATTCTCCCACCTCAGCCTTTCAAGCAGCTGGACTATAGGCGTGCACCACCATACCCAGCTAATGTTTGTTTTTCTGGGGTTTTTTGAGACAGAGTCTCACTCTGTCCCCCAGGCTGCAGTGCCGTGGCATGATCTCGGCTCAATGCGACCTCCGCTTCCCGAGTCCAAGTGATTCTCCTGCCTCAGCCTCCGGAGTAGCTGGGATTACAGATTACAGGCACCCACCATGACACCCGGCTAATTTTTGTATTTTTAGTAGAGACAGGGTTTCGCCATGTTGGCCAGGCTGGTCTTAAACTCCTGACCTCAGGTGATCCGTCCACCTCGGCCTCCCAAAGTGCTGGGATTACAGGTGTGAGCCACCACACCTGGCCCTCTCACTAGTCCTAATGGCCTAGGCCTCTTGGGAGCACTTACGCTGCAGGGCCACAGCCACAGCTGAGGCTCATCTTGGAGAGCTGATGGAGGAGAGAGAGCAGGGCAGACAGGCCTGGACTCTGGCCAGCAGGGCAGAATCCACCCCTCCTACCAGGGCCTGCCTGGCTAGAGAGGAGATGGTCAACATGCATACTCGAGTCCGTATGAACCTCTGGGTCTGTATGTCTGCTACATATATGCATGCACATTGAAGATGTGAGTTGTAGCGCTCACTGGGGGACAGACGGAGGGCAGCTGCCACACCTATATGAAGTGGCAATAAGAATAAAGCCAGCACAGCTGTGCTTATATGTTGCTTAGCTGTCTCAGGGTCCTGGCGCTTCTCCCTGGCCCCTGCCCGAGGGGTACAGTGTCACTGTGCTCGGCCGCACAAAAATGTAGGTCTGCTTCTCCTTCAGGTCCCTGCAAGACCCCCACACACAGCCCCACAGAATGCTCAGATGCACACTGACTGGCACCCATCACTCCATCACCCCATACCCCAGACAGATGATGTGTCCTGTCTGGCCCCCACCATCGTTCTGCCCGACAGAGCTGAGCACGGCTCCCTCCCTTCCTGGCCTCTCCTCTCTACACCCAAAGGGCCTCACAGGTTCGTTTGAAAAGGCCAATTTATTTCATTTCCACAGAACGATGCTCTCACAAGGTCACAGTTGGCTGGAACAATGCCCAGCCCACAGACAGAGCAAAGGGCCTTTCTGAGCCCTGAGGCCTGGGGGTACGGACAGGGGAGCACCCCCGGCTCAGGCCTGGTGTTGCAGTGGGCACAGGTGAGGTGCCTCTGGGAGGAAGAAGAGGTACCTGGGGTTGCTGCTTTTGTGGCCGGGAGGACCTGACACTTCCAACCGGCCTCCCTGGGGTCCTGATCTCTGCACCTGGCAGTCTCCCCCATCCCCACTGCCCTCAGGGTCCCCATCCCTTCCATCATGCCCACCCCACCTCCAATGTGACCGGCGGGCTGTGGTGCCAGACCAGCCTTCAGGACAGGCTCAGGAGAGCAGAGGTAGAGTCTGGGAGGGGCTCAGATTCCCAGAGTCACCAGACACCGGTGGAGTGAAAAGAGGACCCAGACTCGTGGTTGGCTTCAGAGGAAGCCAGACACATAGTGGGACCTTCGCATGGGAAGATTCTGTACTCTGAGGGATGCCTCTGACACTGGGCTCCCCACTACTGAGGCTTAAGGGAAGATCCTCCTGGAACACCCTGCTCTGAAGAAGGTGCGGGTGGCAGTCGGTGTCCTGCAGGGCAAAAAGCAGGAGGGGTGCCCAGAGCTCAGGCCACACGGGGGCACTGGGCACGCTGCCAGCCGGCCCTGGAGGGCAGAGGAAGGTATCAGCACTAGCCTGGGCCCCTCCCAAAATGCATGGGAAGGGAGAGGCCCCCAGCAACGCCCCCAGGGAGGCCCAGAATCAGGCCAGTGTGGCCAGCCCCACCCTAGGACAGCAGCTCGGTGACACCAGGCCTGGGACATTCTCCCAGTGCCCAGTGCTGAGGCCATGGTCGGTCGCTCCCCAGCCAAGACCAGTGACCGTCTGGCCCAGCCTACACGCTGGTCAATGCCTGGGCCACTAGGGCCAAGGAGGACGAGACCACCACATGCCAGGCCTGGCCTCTCTGTGTCACGCCTCTGGTTTCCAGGAGCTGTGAACTGACCCCTCCCGACCCCACGAACACCCCGAATCCCAAAATTCATCCCCAATGCAGCCTCTCTTCATGGCTGCTGACCACCATCCCCGACCTTGTGGGCCTCAAGCTCCACGAATGTGACGAACTGTGGCTACCACCAGCCCCAGGCTCCCTCGAGACACACCCGTAGATCCCCCGCCGCCATCCCCAAACTCTGGCTGAAGAGGAGTGTGAGATATCTCAGCAGGGCTCCCTGACCCCAGACTCAACATCCACATGGCACAGCCCATGGAAGGGCAGCTCGGGGCCCATCCACCGTGTACCCGCAGGCTGGCGACATCAGGGTACTCAGGGCGACTGCCCAGGCTCCTGTCCTAACCAAGAGACTTGACAGAGCAACTCTCATGAAAGAAGGCAGACTGTGAGTGTGGGGTGACAGTCTTGCGACCCCACAGGCAGAGGGCACGGTCTCGATGGGCAGCCACATCTCCCCAGACTGAAAACGCACAGTGACCAGGTGCGGTGGCTCACGTCTGTAACCTGAGCACTTTGGGAGGCCGAGGTAGGCTGAAGCTCAGGGGTTCGAGACCAGCCTGGGCAACATGGTGAAACCCGTCTCTACAAAAAAATACAAAAATTAGCCAGGCATGGTGGCACATGCCTGTAGTGCCAGCTACTTGAGAGGCTGAGGTAGGAGGATCACCTGAGCCCAGGGAGGTCACGGCTGCAGTGAGCCATGATAGCACCACTGCACCCCAGCCTGGGCGACAGACAAGACCCCGTCTCAAAAAAGAAAGAAAGGGAAGTAAACACACAGACCCTCTGGCCTGATACGTCTCCGCTGGGGAGCGGCCCTGAGACTGGCAACTGCTCGCATCAGCTGTGGCACTGCCTGCAAAACACGCCCAGAAGCCACCGAGCTGCACACACGGGGGTTGAATAAGCCAGGGTGCATCCAGCAGGGAAGAAAAGCGGGGAGAAGGGAAGGACTCGAAGACCAACCCAGAGCAGAGCGCGACGCTCACCACCTCTGCGGGACGGCGTGAGAGACGCGCGTCAGGATGCGGACGTTTTCTCTGCCGCCTTTCACAGCTTGCCTAGGTTGAGTTCCTCTTTTAGCAAAAGACAAAAAAAGAAGGTGGGTTGCCTGTGGCCAACAAGTTCTGCTTCCACCTGAGAGCATACAGACCCCCCGACCCCCACACTCAGCCAAGGACACATAGACACACTCAGATACAACGCAGAGCTCACCCACAGAAACCCCCATGCAGGCAGACGCAGGCCCACACACATGTACATGTCCTAACTGGCACCCACACACAGGCCCACACACATGTACATGTCCTAACTGGCACCCACACACACACAGGACACACAGGCACACACCATGTACATGTCCTAACTGGCACCCACACACACACACACAGAGGACACACAGGCACACACCATGTACATGTCCTACCTGGCACCCACACACACACACACAGAGGACACACAGGCACACACCATGTACATGTCCTACCTGGCACCCACACACACAAGCACACACCATGTACACGCACAGTGTGGGGCACAAGATCCACCAAGACACCCATGTACGCAGATAAGGGTGCCCAAGTCCATAGTGATTCCTGGACAGAGGCACAGATGCCCTCAGTGCCCTCTGCCCGAAGACCTGGGCACACCCAGAGGCCCTTGTATGGAGTGCCTTCCTGACACACAGGCGCACACGTGCCTCAGCCGCCCACTGAGGAGTCTGCCTGGGTAAGTGAGTGCTGAGGAGACCCTGGGACAGCCGACTGCAGGCGCTACTGCAGCTCAGGGGAAGGTGGGGCCTGCCTTCCAGGCTCCACGTCAGCGAGGGGGATCCGCCTCCCTCCCTCACCAGCATCAGCACAGGCACCAGGCTGGGAACCTCACCGCCGGGGCTGAGGCAGCCAGCAGGGCAGGTCCTGAAAGTGCTGAAACCTCAGCGGGAGGTCTGTGGGCGAGGACCACACCTCCCGCTCCATCCCCGCGACTGCCTGTACTGGCCAAAACCAGGAGCACACCAAGGCTGCCAACTTCTGGACTTGAAGCACTGCACAGGTCAGTGGAGAGAAGAGTAGCTGCACCAGCAGGGTCTGCAGCATCTCTCGGGAGGGTGTGGGGAGGGTGCAGACTCCAAGACCCCTGAGGGAAGGACCTTCAGATTCAAGGGAGCCAGAGACGAGCTTGGGAGGTGTGTTTTCAAAGGGACCTCTTGAGTCTACTTAGCCTGTGCATTTGCGGGTTGCTGGGGCAGGGGCAGATCCATGTCTCCCCTTCCCAGGGGAGAGCCAGCAGCTCTCTCTGCGGGAGAAGGGAACTGATCTGCTAAAGTATCACCCGGAAGAGGCAGGAGGAGGCCCCCACACACCCCACCAGGCTCCCTCTGGCCCCATGTCCTTGACCTGGCAGAGTGGCCGTCGTCTCTGCCAGAGAACTTGGAGTGGCCGTGCTCTAACAGACATCAGATCTCCAAGTTTCTGGTTGTTTTTCTTTCCCAGAATCCAGCCCAAGGAGGCCCCCAACCAGATACCCAACTCCAAGGCACCTCCCACCTGCCCAGGGCACAAATTGTCAACGGTCCCAGCTACAATGCAGGCCGCTGGGCTCCCAGAGCCCCTTGACAGCAGGGGCTCCTTCTCTCTCCCCATGGTGGGTGCCAACATCTCTCAGGACAATGGCACCGGCCACAATGCCACCTTCTCTGAGCCGCTGCCGTTCCTCTATGTGCTCCTGCCCGCCGTGTACTCTGGGATTTGTGCCGTGGGACTGACTGGCAACACGGCCGTCATCCTTGTAATCCTGAGGGCGCCCAAGATGAAGACGGTGACCAACGTGTTCATCCTGAACCTGGCCATCGCTGATGGGCTCTTCACACTGGTACTGCCTGTCAACATCGCAGAGCACCTGCTGCAGCACTGGCCCTTCGGGGAGTTGCTCTGCAAGCTGGTGCTGGCCATCGACCACTACAACATCTTCTCCAGCATCTACTTCCTAGCCGTGATGAGCGTGGACCGATACCTGGTGGTGCTGGCCACTGTGCGGTCCCACCACATGCCCTGGCGCACCTACCGGGGGGCAAAGGTCGCCAGCCTGTGTGTCTGGCTGGGTGTCACGGTTCTGGTTCTGCCCTTCTTCTCTTTTGCTGGCGTCTACAGCAATGAGCTGCAGGTCCCAAGCTGTGGGCTGAGCTTCCCGCGGCCCGAGCGGGTCTGGTTCAAGGCCAGCCGTGTCTACACGTTGGTCCTGGGCTTCGTGGTACCTGTGTGCACCATCTGTGTGCTCTACGCAGACCTGCTGCGCAGGCTGCGGGCCGTGCGGCTCTGCTCTGGCGCCAAGGCTCTAGGCAAGGCCAGGCGGAAGGTGACCATCCTGGTCCTCGTCGTGCTGGCCGTGTGCCTCCTCTGCTGGACGCCCTTCCACCTGGCCTCTGTCGTGGCCCTGACCACAGACCTGCCCCAGACCCCACTGGTCATCAGCATGTCCTACGTCATCACCAGCCTCAGCTACGCCAACTCATGCCTGAACCCCTTCCTCTACGCCTTTCTAGACGACAACTTCCGGAAGAATTTCCGTACCATGTTCAGGTGCTGAGGGGCCTGAGCACCCACCATCACCCCCACCACCACCCAGTTCGGGTTGTCTCTTTCAGGGGGTGCCCATCCTGTTCACATCCCAGTGCTGTCTTCTCCACACAGTGAGACACAGACCCTCAAACACTGGCCACCAGACCTACAGAGACAGCTGTGGGCATATACCTTCCATGTCTCTGCTTCCTGGACAGCCCCTGGGTGGACAGCAGCAGGGAGCCAGGTCCTGGCAGAAGGCCCCAACACAGCAAGCATCCTGAGTCCACTTACCCACGAGAGACAGACAGATGGACAAGCCCCTCGGAAGGCTCTGGGCCTCAGGATCCCTAATGACAGTGGTCGGGAGGGAAGGGACCTGAACTATGGTCTTGACCTGGGCCAGCGCCACGTTGCACAGTCTCTCCCCAAGACAGGGTTGGGAAGTGGCAAGTGCGGGCGCCTCAGACAGCAGCAATGCTGTGTGGCTGCAAAGGCCAAGGACACCTGCACCGAATGAGACCATGGAGTCCACTCTCATGGCCTGAAACCCCAGTGACATTCCAGCAGGAGGCCCATCCCTGCCGTGCCCGCATGCCACGGCCTGTGCTCCTCTGTACCCCCCATGCTGTGGCCGATGGTCCTCTCATATTTTGCTAGAGGGTACAGGGCCCTTTTGCCAGGACCTCTGGGCCACCACAGCCTAGGAACCATCCGTCACTTGGACAGGCTGGCACCTGGAACTCTTTCTCCCTTGGTGTGGCCAGGGGCTTGTAATCAGCCAGCAGGAGCTGCTGAAACTCTGGTGGGGGCAGGGTGAGGGTGGTAATGAAGGGCAGGCAGCTGTCAGGTGGGAGGGGCCAGGGGCTGGTCCCAGGTGTGCTGTGGCCAGGCCCCGACTCTTGGCCCCGTGGCTCTCAGCTGGTTCCATGCCTGGCAGTCCAGCCTGGCATTCCAGCCTGGCAGTGAGGTGTGAGAGCTCTGGGTTGGTTTCAGTCCTCATGACCCAGAGCTCTGATCAATCTGTCCAGCGGGCACACAGGACCCTCCATTCACCAGCCCACGAGGCATCTCACGGTGTACGCCCACCTCCACCCATCCACCAAGTACTCCAGCTCTCCAGGCCACGAGGGCCCTGCCTGTTGAGCCCCCTCAGCTCAGGCCTGCATCAGTGCCCCTCCTCCGTGCTAGCCAGCCAAACACGCCAGGGCTGTCTCCATCCACTTATCCTCCCTGACAACATTGTATTAGTTCTGTGTTGCTGCATAACAAATTTCTCCAAAACTCAGCAGCTTAAAACAACTTCTTCTATTTCACAGCTTCTGTGGTTCAAGAATTAAAGTGGCCTTTTGGGTGGTTCTGGCTCAGGGTCTCTCCTGAGGTTGCAGTCAGGACGTCGGCCAAGGCCCTGGGCCTCGGAAGCCTGGGCAGGGGCTGGGGGTATCTCCTTCTGAGAAGTCTCCCTCCCGTGGCTACCGGCAGGAGGCCTCTGCTCCTCACCACATGGATGCTTCAGGGGCTGAGTGTCCTCAAAACATGGCACTGGGTCCCCCAGAGCCAGCGACCCAGGGGGGGAGCCAGCGACCCAGGAGGGAGCCAAGAGGACGCCTCAACACATTTGAGGCCAAGTGTCCGGAGCCACTTGCCATCCCTTCTACTACATTCTGTGTATTGGAAGCAAGTCACAGGTCCAGCTCACACTCGGGGGCTGTAGACTGTTTATTTTTCTTTCGCTTCAATATTTTTTTTAAATCGAGAAGGGGTCTCACTCTGTTGACCAGGCTGGAGTGCCGTGGTGCGGTCACGGCTCACAGCAGATTCGACTTCCTGAGCTCAGGCAATCCTCCCACATCAGCCTCTGGAGTAGCTGGGACCACATGCGTGCCCCACCATGCCAGGCAATTTTTTTTTTTTTAAAGACGAGGTCTCACTATGTTGCCCAGGCTGGTCTCAAACTCCTGGGTTCAAGTGATCCTCCTGCCTCAGCCTCCCAAAGTGCTGGGATTACAGGCATGAGCCCAGCCTGTGGACAATTTTTAAGCCACCACCAACACCCACACCGCAGGAAGAACAAGCTGTCCCTGGATTTGTTTCCGCTCGGCTGGCGCTACCAGTCACACCCCGTCGCAAAGCAGCAGCTCTGTTTACGTGCCTGCAGCCTGCTTTAACTCGGTGCCCGCGCACGCTGTTACTGTGACCTGCAGCCTCGTTACTGCCCGTGACTCGCAGGCCTTGTTCAACTGCACGGCTGCCCGCACGCTGTTTACTAACTGTGCGCACGCGTTACTCGTGCTGCAGCCTGTTACTCGTCGCCCGACCTCGCTTCACTGTTGATGCAGCCTGTTACATGTGACTGCAGCCTGTTACTGTGCCCCGCGCGTGCGCCCTGTTACTGTGCCCCGCACACCTGTACTGTGCCCCGCAGCCTGTTACTGTGCCCACGTCACGCTGTTTAAACGTGTGCCCGCACGCTGTTACTCGTGGAACTGCAGCCTGTTACATGATCTGCACGCCCTGTTACCTGTGCCCCGCCACGATGTTACTGCGTGCCCCGCAGCCTGTTACTGTCCTGCAACGCCTGTTATGGCCGTGCCCGCACGCCTGTTACTCGTGAACTGCAGCCTGTTACTGTGACTGCACCCTGTATCGGGCCCGCACCCGTAACTGATACCCGCACGGCTGTTACTGCGTGACTGCAAGCCCTGTTACCTCGTGCACTGACGGCAGCCTGTTTACTCGTGCCCCGCAACGCTGTTACCTGCCGCGTGCTGTTACTGTGCCCGCACGCGTGTTACTCGGCCGCGCACTGTCACTGGTGCCGCAACGCTGTTACCTCGTGCCCGCACGCTGTTACTGGTGACGGCAGCCTGTTAGGTCCCCACCTGTTACTGTGACTCGCCAGGCCTGTACTGTGCTGCACGCTCGGTTACTGTGCCCGCAGCCCTGTTACTGTGCCCGCAACGCTGTTAACTGGTGCCCTGCAACGCTGTTACTGTCCTGCACCGCTGTTACTGTGACTGCAGCCTGTTTCACTCGGCGGTGGCTGTTACCTGCTGTTGCCCCGCACGCTGTTACTCGTGCCTGCGCAGCCTGTTACTTGTGCCCCGCCCTGCTTCACTGGTGCCCGCACGCTTACTGCGTGCCTGCAGCCCTGTTACTGAGTGCCCGCACGCTGTTTACTGTGGCCGGCACCTGTTACTGTGCCTGCAACGCTGTTTACGTGCGGGTGACTGGCAGCCTGTACTGTGCCCGCGTGCTGCTTCTACTTCGGTGCCCGCACGCTGTTACTGTGCCCGCCTGCACGCCTTGTTTACTGTGCCCGCAGTCTTTACTGTGCACCGCCACCGCTGTTACTCTGCCTGGCTGCAGCCGTGTTACCGTGCCCGACGCTGTTCACGCGTCGCACGCTCGCGTTACTGTGCCTGCACGCGTTTACTCGTGACTGCAGCCTGCTTACTTGTGCCGCACGCGTGATCTGTTACTCGTAGGCCGCGGCACGCTGTTACTCGTGCGTGCCCTGCACGGCTGTTACTTCCGTGACATGCCAGCCTCGTCCTACTGCTCAAAAAAACAACGCTGTTTACCTACAGTGACTCACAGCCTGCTACTGCGCCCTCACGCTGTTACTGAGGTGCCGCGTGCTGTTACCTCGTGGCCCGTGCAGCCTGTTAACTGGTGCCCGCACCGCGTTACTGATGTGCCCCGGACCCTTGAGGCAGACAAGTGAGAACTGTCTTCCCAGACAGACAAAAGACAACCAGAGCAGCACTCCTCCAAGCCAGGTGTGAGGCCTAATGAGGAGTGAACAATGAGGGGCGGGCAGGAGAGGCTCCGGGGTGGGAGTGTGCGCAGGCAGGGCTGAGAGAGAGCCCCACGGGGTGGGGGGAGGGGCGGGGCGCTGACGGAGCGCCAGGACGAGGCCCCTGCAGCGCTCAGGGCCGAGGTCTCCCACCCGGCCCCCAGCGGGACGTCTCTGCTGCAGAGAAGGCGCCAACCAGGATTCCTCCAAAGAACCCAGACCCCTTCTGACCTCGGGCGGCTCCTATCCCCATCCACAGTCCAGCAATGGGATCCTCAGCTTCTTCTCGGGGACCAGGCAGATCAGGCACAGCCACAGGGTCTGCAGACCACCGCCCAGCCAGGGAGCAGCAGAGACCCCCGAGGACTGGGGAGGCCGCAGCCAGCCAGGAGGGAGGGCGCGGGGCAGGGGCCACACCGGGCGGCTCAGCCCGCCACGTCTGCACGCTCTGGGCTCCTGGTCCCAGGGGCAGCCCGGCCCCGCCACCCACGTTCGGATCCCGCTGGTCACCGCGGTTCCCACCGCCGCGCCCTGGGCCCAAGGCCGGGCCCGCCCGAGCCCACAGCGCCCCCTGGCGGGAGGGTCCGACGCCGCCGCTGAACCCCGCCTCCCTGCGGGGCAGGACCCGGACCCTCCCGGGCGCCCCAGCCGTTCCCCACAACCCCACAAAGAGGGTTCTGCGGTCCCCTGTGCACAGGGAAGTTAACTGAGGCTCAGAAAAGCCAGGCGACTCGACCAAGCCCAACAGCAGAGGTGGGTTGGGGGAGCCGGGGGCTGGAGAGGAGACCCAGGGTGTGGTCAGAGGGGTGGGGAGAGCGAGGGAGCTGGTCAGCCTCCAACACCCCCCAACTCCTCCTACAGCCCTGGCCCGTCTGGCCGGCTCCTTCTGGAAGACACTAGCTGTGGGCTTAGCCCTGGATCCACACCCACCCGAGGACAGGACAGCACCACGTGTGAGCCTCTTCCACCAAGCCCACACCATCTCCCGGGCCCAAGGGCACGGTGACTACCCCGGTGCAGCCTGTCCCTCCCAAATTGTCCCTTGATGCTAAATTTTTGCTTTAATGGCAATGTGTTTGTTATGGACTATTTGTGTTCCTCCAAAATTCGTATTTTGAAATCCCACCCCCCAAGCTGATGGTATCAGGAGAAGGGGGCCTTTGGGAGATGACAGGTCACGACGGCAGAGTCCTCCTGAAAGGGATGAGTGCCTTTAGGAACCAGATGCTCTTGAGCTCTCAAACCCATGTCATGACATAGTGAGAAGACGGCCCTCTACGGCCTGGGGTCTTTCCCAGAACCTGACTGTGCCTGCACCTCATCTCTGATCCCCAGTCCCAGAACCGTGAGAAATAAACGTCTGTTGTTTCTATTGCCATTGGATCTATGGTGCTTTGCTACAGCAGTCCAGGATAAGACAGTGTCTGTCATTCAAACCTATATAAAACCCTACAGAACTTACCCATCTGCCCATGCCCTGGAGACAAGCGCTTGGACTGGAGTGTGCCGGTGCCCACCCTCCAAAGCTGCTCTGTTTCGCAGGCCAGCCTGGGCTGCACTGGGCCAAACAGGAACCAGGAGGCAGATGTCCACGGCAAGAGTGTGCCCAGCCCCAGAGGAGGCTGTCTGCTCATCCTTCACCAAAACTCCCCCCAGATCTGCTCTAGGAAGGGGAAATGAGCAGGAGCAGAGGTTCTTCTGAGATGAAATAGGGGGAAGAAAACCCTGCGGCCTGGGTGGGAGCAGCCTCCTCCCACTGGATCCTCAGGAAACCTCTTTCCAGGGGGCAGGGGAGAGGTGCAGCCATTGGTTATTTAGGGAGAAACGGTGTGTGGTGAAGAAAAGGTAACAGCCTGGCCAACACACCATTAACTGGCTTCAACTCTCCCCAGGGTTGCAGCCTCCTGGAGGACCCTTCACTGAGGACAGAGCCCAGCCTGTTGAGCAGCACAGGACAAGTGCAAGAACTCAGCCTAAACTCCATAGCCTCCTCCCACTCACGTGCCAATCCCAGAAAAGTCACCCCAAAAGCAAATCCCCAGGTGGCAGGAGCCAGAAACACCTGTCATGAAGATACCCAGCCAGTGAGCAGGTGTTTATTAGGGTCCTTTTTCATTACCCCAGAGACAGACCCAGGGCTGGCTGCGTGCACAGGAAGTAACGATTGCCACATGCATAAATACGTGAAGATGCACATTACGTCAGCACAGAGTCACAAAACACTTAGCCTTGGCAAGAAAACACTGTAGCTAGGCAGCTCCCGTTCTCAGAGACTCCTGCCACAGATGTCACGGAGACAGCACTGGCCTCCCCAGGGACAGTCCCCACGGCCTAGACTCCCCAGAGCTGGAGGAGCAGCCCAGGCTCTGTGGTGAGACGGCCATCACTTCCTGTTCTTGGCAGGAGCCTAAGGTTACCTGGCCAAGGTCTTGATGGAAAAAATGAGTTTTTACAACGTTGCAGGTCTTTTAATAGTTCGTCTGTAGGAAGTGCATTTGCAAAGTCACCAACCTGCAGCTGCCATCTGTAGACCAGGAAGGGTGATTCTCTGGTTGACCACAGCAGGGCATCCCCTGAGGTACAGAGACCCCCTCCCACCCCCACAGTGTTCTCACAGCCGCTACAGCGCTTGCTGTTTGGCTCAAGCAAGCCCTGGCAAGCCCCACCCCCATGCTGGCTCTGCTGTGAAGCCATCCTCTCGCTGGGTGGCAAGTTCAGGCCCTACGCAGAGCCATCTTGAGGCTTGTAAATGAAGCAGGCGTCACCAGAGCAGGACTCCGCTGTGGCCACCGGCTTCTCCTTCCGCACAGCTTCCCCCGCAACACAGCTCCCCCAAAACACTGCACGGCCACTGACCTCCGGCTTCAAGCAAAGGAGAGGCTGTGAGGGGAGCCCTGCGAGGATGCGGAGACCCCCGGGAGGATGTGGAGACCCCCAGAGAATCCTCTCCCACCCTGCTACAAACAGCAGTCGAGACCAGGAAAATGAGGCCTCTACTTTGTGAACAGGCTGCCCATGTGGTCACGCGGCGTCTTCCTCTTGAGACACCTGCCACACACCGAGAAGCAGAGCTCGGTTGACGGTCCAAAGCATGACAGTTCATTGCACTGCTGGAGGGAATGGGCCAGGCCCTCCCGTGGGTTTCCTGAAGGGAAAGGGGGGTTGGACCCAGAGCCAAGCTCAGTCAGGGATGACGCCTGCACAGTGCAGCACACAGGAAACCTTCAGAGGTGCGGCTGGCCCAGGACCAGCTCGGGGTCTGCAGCCAGGGACAGCCAGCCCACCTGGACACTCTCCTGGGGTGGCCCTGGCTGCACAGGTGGAGTCAGAACGGGCAAGTCCTCCTGGTGGCAGCTCCAAGCTCAGGGCAAGTCCCACCCCAAAGAAATGCTGCCTGTTGGACTTCCCGGGCAGCGCCAAGCCTGTCCAGCTGCCCTGAGGAGACGTCCCAGGGCTGAAGGCAGCTGGAGCCCTGCCATGCAAACAGCACACAGCACGTAGGGTGCACAGGACGACACAGCCGCTGCTCCTCCTCCGGGTGCACCCACCCAGGGTTCTGCCAACACAGCAGCAGAGAGGCCAAGAGTCACGTGAAGCATGGGCAGGGAGGGGCACGGGCTCCAGTCGCGGCCGTCCAGCAGCACGGCAGCTGCTTCCAGGTAGGTCTTTGTGTCACCTCAGCCCTGCACCAGGTGGGCAGCTTTAGTCTGTCTGGGGCCATGGAGGTAGCCCTAATGCTCTGACCTGTCCCATGATATCACTAGGTCCTCCTCTGGGACCAAGTGTCCCTGGCCCACAGGGAAAAGCCCATCCAAGGCTCTGGATGCTCAGGGCTCAGGGTGTGTCAGCCTAGAGAGCAGTGACTTGTGTGAGCTCCGTGTTGGGCGTAGATGGGCTCTGCGGGCTGACGGGCACCATAGGCAGGTCCACGCCTAGTCACGCGGGCCGCGGTACCGTCTCAGAGGTCTTGCAGGCCAGGGCCACATCTTTGGCAATGCTGCGCACACGGTCAGACACCTGCACCTCCCGGCGCAGGGCAGAGGCACAGCAGAACTTGCGGAAGCAGGCCTTGAAGTTCTCATCCAGGAAGGCATAGAGGATGGGGTTGAGGCAGCTGTTGACGTAGCCCAGGGCCGTGCAGAAGCGCAGAATGGCCACGGCAGTCTCGCTGCCTGGCTGCACTCCCAGCCCTTGGACCAGCACAAAGACCTGGACAGGCGTCCAGCAGCCCACGAACACAGCCACCACCACCAGCACCAGCCGAGTGATGCGTCGCAGGTTCCGGTCCTTCTCCCGGGAGCCCGAGAGCAGGCGGACTCCGCGGAGCCTCCGGATCATGAGGCTGTAGCAGACGGAGATGATGAGCACGGGGACGATGAAGGAGAAGAGGAAGATGCAGACGGCAAACACGGGGCCCCAGTAGTCCTGTGGGGCAGGGATCTCCACCAGGCACTCGATCTCTGCAGGGAGAGAAGTGGGGTCAGAGTGGGCCCAGGAGCCGTGGAGGGCAAGTGGGCCCAGAGGAGCCACCCAGGAGCCGTGGAGAGCCTGGTGAGGGGAGGAGGGGGACACCCCACTGACCTTCATCCTCAACCTGTGCCGAGCCCATGATGGCAACAGGAACACCAACAACAGAGGCCAGGGCCCAGATGGCCACATTGACAGCCTGGGCTTTGCTGGATGTGCGGACGTCGAGGGCGCGGATGGGGTGGCAGATGGCTACGTAGCGATCCACACTCATGGCAGTCAGGGTGAAGGTGCTGGTGAACATGTTGTAGTAGTCAATGGCAATGACTGTCTTGCACAGGGCATTCCCAAACGGCCAGAAGCCCAGGAGGATGTCTGTGCCCTGGAAGGGCAGTGTCAGCAGGACCAGAGTGTCTGCCAGGGCCAGGTTAAAGATGTAAATATTGGTGGCTGTCTTCATTTTGGTGTGCCTGCAGAGTAGAGGGAGAAGAAAGGCTTCACTTGGCTATGCCGGCTGGACTGAGCAGCAAAGGGCAAGGGGCTCGTCTTGGCCACCGCAAGCTACACTGGCCCTGAGTCCCTTAACATCAGAGTTCCCATGGGGGCTTGGTAAGTGACAGCTCCTGGACCCAACCTGAGACTCACTGAGTCAGTCTCAGGGGATGGAACCTGGCATCAGACATCTTCACCAGCTCTTCAAGTGACTCTGACACACACAAAAGGATTCCAAGCCTTAAACACGAGTCTACTTTACAGGGGTCAGGGCATGTAGGGTACTAGAACACACCCCAGACTCTGCACGGGAGCGAAGGGTTAGAGCCCTAAGGGAAAAAGCCTGCTCTCCTTGCTTTTGAGTCCCCTCAGAGACCCTTCACAGACTCAAATGCTGACCCTACAGTTGCCAGAGGTTTCTGAGAGCTCCGGAATCTATAAGAACATACCAAAAGGCTTCCAAGTCCACACTGCTATCTAGCAACGGAGACAGAAAATGGTGACACGGACAGGAGGGATGCTAATAAGGTATGATTGTATCCAAGCACCTGAAAAGGTGCTGGAAAGGGCTGGGAAAGTTGTTGGTGGTTAATAAATTTTTGTTAAATCAGTTAATGGTTGTAATATTTGGGGGGGGGATTATGGTGGTGGTGGTGGTGGTGATGATGGTAGTGATCATGGTGGTGACAGTGATGATGATGGTGATGGTGATGATGGTGGTGGTGACAGAGAGGATGGTGATGATGAATGTAATGGTGGTGATAGTGGTGATGGTGATGATGATGGTGATGATGGTGATGATGAATGTAATGGTGGTGATAGTGGTGA